CCGCCTTTGAATCCTCCTTGATTTTCCTCATTGCCCTCTATGTCGATGATGTGAGGGACTGGCAGGGCCGTCATTTTGGATTGAGCGTCTTGCATGTTACTATCGACGTCGTATTTGTCAAAGATGGCATCTGGGGGGTCGTTATCAGTGACGCGCTCTCCTTTGAGCTTCTTCGCTAGTTTGCTGAGAAAAAATCGCGACCAGAATTCCGCCTCAGACAGTCTTGGTACATTTTCATTATAGATTCGTTTGATTAGTGGGTGCTGAGAAAAAATCATCTGCACCTGCTCGACGCTTATGTTCAGTTTCAACTCTCCGTCAACGGTTCGAGGTTTGACGGTCGAGAGGACATTGTATGCGCCCTTTTTTTGATTTATTTCGATGGCATGAGCTCTGAGGAGGTTTATCCTCGTGGACCAAAACTGGGCATTGAAGGCAGCTCCAGTCATTGACTCTGGTTTAGTCTCCATAGCGCTCATGTAAGTCTGGTGCAAGCTCCTATCTTTTCTCATGAGGGACTGGTGTAGCTCGATATTCGTCTTCAGTTGATTATCATCGAACCAAGTGGGAGGTGTGGGCTGCGTGTTTGCACCGCTCGACGATGCCAGCAGAGCTGAGCCTCCTGTTGCCTCTCCATTTGCAGCTGGTGTTGCCGTCGGAGTTGCGAGTTTCGATACGTTTGCCTCGCCATTTCGGAGATCCGCCAGGAGACGAGAGAGTAGGTCTTTGACAGCTTGAGCTTCTGCCTTGGCGTCTGGGGTATTGAAATGGAATAGGTATGTGACGGGGTCGGCTGCGCTTTCGGTCTTCTCGAATATTTTCAGCATGACCTTGGGAGAGCTGTCGGGAGTCTGCTGAAGATCTGATGACGTTAGTGGTAGCACTCATGAGCTGGAATGATTCAAGAGGAAGTACTGGTGATGCTGGTAATCGGCAGCGAAACAGTCGCAGGGCCTCCCGAAGCTGGCGTCCATGTTATCGCTTTGAGATCGCTGGTGAACGATAAGATGCCTTCTTTCTTCTTGAAGAGAGTGTGGCCCTTTGGGCTGTCCATTGCGATCCAAATTTGCTAGTGGTGGATGTGTGTAGCCTGAAGTGGATGCAGAATTGAAGAATCTCTGACTTCATGTTCAGGTTAGAAGGGTTGCATGGTAGAACGAAGCGTAGCTGACGTGCAGGAAAGAAAACACAAGCTGTTTTGCAGGAGTAGCTGTATGCATGTAGCAGGGCGGCGCCGGAGATCAGTGACGACGTACGAACTAGACGCGCTACTCCATCTCAGATGTAAAGGAAGCAGCAGGCTGGTACAAGCCTAATTACGAGAAAATCCATATAGTATTGATTTCAAAGTAAGACATATTAGAACTCTGTTTTGTAAATATATATTTATTATTCTAAGTAAGATAGTTATAGAAATTATAAATAATAATCTTTTTTAAAAATATAAAATTACTTAAACTTTTTTAAAATTATAAATAATAATATAACTATTTATATATAAACTACTTCTTTTCTTAATACTTCACTTATGCGAGTGTTAACTTACTAAGTACAGAGGCTGACTAAATGTGGGGCTTATAATAGTTCTTCCCACTCGCACCGACCTACGTACTACTAGTATTATCTTAGGTCCCTACTACTCTCCTAATCACACAAGTCAATCCACCACGACTTATTAATTACGACGCATGTTTGGTCAAACTTGCCGGCCTTATTGACTGACGACCTGTCCCTTTCTCAAACTGGAACATCTTGGAGTCTTGTTCATGTTTACTCTGTCGGAAAACCAATCATCAGCCTCGAAGCGTCCGCTTGCTCGACCGCCCACTCCTTTCGTGCTATGCGCCCGTGGTAACAGGCTCGCTACAGTCAACACAACGTCTGGAATCAACGCACTATTCCGTGATCACAACGCAGTCGCGATTTAAAACCCTGGCGAATTCTCCCACCCCTTCGTCGTCTCTTCGCTTAACCATCCTCCACGGCGTCACCTCTGCGCGACAGCCTCTCGGCTTTCCATCGAAATTCCCATCTTTCGCAACACATCGCCGCGCTATCGTATCGAAGGCAAACCTCAGCGCTCAACCGGAACCCGCAAAAGGCTCGAAACCCTGCGAACCTGTTGCAGCTGACGGGTCGCACTCCTCCCGCAGAGGCCGGGTGATCAACGTGCATCGTCCGTGGGCTTGCTGCAGTCCCTGGATACTGCCGCAGAAGCCTAACGTCTCCCTTCTGTACGATATGTGGTAGGTGCGATTTCCCCCACCAGTTTCGTTCATCGGAACCAGACAGGCATCTCAGGAAGCCTTCATCCTTGGATCTCACTCTCCGGTACTCAAACAGTTCTTCTTGCGCCCCGCTTATGATATCACATTGCTTGACCTTCTTCTTTTTCTGCAGCTGCGAGTACCCTCAACTTGGATACCTACATGCCCTTTTTTACCCCACATTCATACTTCTCTATTTTCACTAATGCATGACTCTTCGCCTACCAGTCAAGACTGCTTGCTAACTTCTTGAGCAGAAGAACGATTGATAATGTCTCCTGATGCCGTGTCGTTGCTATTTCCCGATCGGCCTATTCGGCCCCTGCCGAAACGCCGACTTCGAGAGAGATTGCCTCCAGAGGTTGCCAACTCGATCAAATATCCCTCCTATATCCACGACCACATTCCTCTGTTCTACTATCCTTCATACAACCCGAGAGACGATCATGGGGCGTCAACTCCGACATCAACTGGGCCTGCCATGCCACATCACCGTGACGATTCAAAACGCAATTCTACGCTACGGCGGAATGGGGCTTCCATGACAGCGGGAATAAACGAAGAATTACGAGGGTCTCTAGTCCTAGGTTCCACCCCCAGAATTCAGGGCATGGTCATACAGTCTTCAGTGGTGCTGGACCCGCTCCGCCAGACGATGGAGTTCCAACTGGTACCCTCCGCTGCTTCATCCGTGGACGGCTACGAGTCGTTCGAGAACACGAACAACAAAAAGAAACGGAAGATTCCCACTACCGGTGACTCCTTGGCGAATAATGGCCTTTCCCTGAGCGGTGATGTCGCCGCGCTCTCGACAGCGGTAAGGTCTCAGTCGCCGGCGAAGGAGATGGACAGTAATCGAGGACAGCTGGCTCCACCAAGCCCGGCTGGAAATGGTTTCTATGTGCCAAGCAGTCAGGGATTGTCAGGGCCTGGTAGAGGGAGACTGGGACGATCGAGAAATGGACGCAGCCCCTTGCGAGCTTTGTCGGATGGCAGCAACGCGTGGTCCAACCGTTCGAGAGCTACTTCATCCCAATGGGCGTCGACTGGTAAGTGTCCTTGAACGCTTCTTGCTTTTGCGCAAAACGTGCCTCTGCTGACCAACTCACGTATAGGCCAGACTGGGGGTGGTATAATATCAAATGCAATCGCCACTGCTGGAAAGGAGCCGCTCCAGGGACAGGAGAACGGAAGTCTTCTGCCACAACATGTGTCTGCGGACAGAGAAATACCTGCTTCTTCCCAGTTTACATTCACCTGTGAATCGCAAACGCCCGGAGCCATACAGTGGCCCGGTAAGTCAGAGCTCTCCCGTCATGATGGCTTGTCGCACACTGACCAAATGTCTAGGTCGTTCTGTCGGCCAAAGTGCTCCCTCCCAAGTGTTGCAGCATTTACCGGCTGGCGTCCCCCGAAGCCCGGGTCTACATGAGGGAAGCTCATCGAAGCAAGTCAGTAGGCATCCTGCTGGCTCTGCAAGGAAAAACCGCAGCCGCCTAGAAAGGGAGCTAGTTGCTGCTG